AAACCAAACCAAACCAAACCAAACCAATCTAATCTAATCTAATCTAATCTAATCTAATCTAATCTAATCTAATCTAATCTAATCTAATCTAATCTAATCTAATCTGAGGTAAGCTGAGCTGAGCTGAGGTAAGCTGAGCTGAGCTAAGCTAGCTAAGCTAAGCTAAGCTAAGCCAAGCTAAGCTAAGCTAAGCTAAGCTAAGCTAAGCTAAACTAAACTAAACTAAACTAAACTAAACTAAACTAAAGCTTGTTGTCCCCCCCCCCTCCTGCACAATTCATTATTTGACTATACTAGTAGTACTGAAAAAGCAAGCAGCAAATCAATCAGCAACTTAAACTTCAATACCGGATTTAACCACAAACAGCAATGGACCATGGTGTGTAAGCAAAGTGATTGCATACCCATAGACCATAGTAGGGTCTTTGAACCTTGGGAACTGTCCCTGGATCATCCTAATCAAATTCAGACATCTGTCTCAAGGACATGGCGTCCCTGTTCAACAAGAGGAAGTTACTATCCTTGTCAGGATCCCAGTGAGAGCTCTTGGCAAGGATATGCTGATAATCCTTTAGTGCAAAGAAGGMCGAATCCACAACAACCTTAGCACCATTGCACACATCATGGACCTCCTCTACTATCCTTTGGTATAYACCATGGTCAGCAATAGCACTGTCATGCCAGGTCCCTGGGCAGTTATACACTGCAATCCTGATTCTTCCATTGGGGGCAAAGAAAAACACATTATTAACAAGAAASTTGTTCTCCTTCCAGGCATTGTAKAATGCTCTTYGTTTATACCAGTCCTGTGATTATTGAATGACACTCTTGAGTCCATCAGCAGCAGCCMAAAAGCATTGTTCTCCAAGCCTTGGATASTTGTCTCCAATAGGCAGCMTATCATCCACTTCTTTCTATTTTGGAGCGCTGATCATGGCATGTGGTGGATGTTTGTGAAGGACAACAAGGAGCACTAAACTTGATCCACTTGTACATCACTGTGGATGTCAAACCAAAGACCATGAATTTTGCAGCAGATCMTCTGGTCCTGAACCAATGGAAGAGGACCATTCCAATAGCACAGACTGCATTGACCTCCCTCTTCTTTYCCTTGGGCTTTCCACTGGAATAACAAGAAGGAACTTGCACAATTTCATTGTCATCATTAGCTGCTAAAAGTGTACTTGTTGTAAACCAGAGCAAATGGGCCAACAATCTCCCTGAAGACCTTGTGGTCTACTACACCACAGCAGCAGTTGAAGAGGGCTTGGYCAACCCCTGAGTGGAAGAGATGGAGGATGGGGAAGTGAGCATACCACTATCTACAGATTGCAATCCTAGGCATCCTCCCATCCCTTCTTCGCCTCTCTCCTGGAAATAGTTTTTGTAGATGAGCCTTATCTGGTTGTCCTAATTCAACTGATTGTACCAGTACAACACAATGAACTCCACAACTCCCATTGTTGTGGCCTTCTTTCTTGCTACTAGTACTAAGAGGCCTGTGGTCTAATAGTGAGTCTAATAGTGCAAGTAAGACACATATTTATTGATACTACAAGTGTGTATCAAAAGTATGCGTCTTCCTTCTACTAGTACTACTTCTAAAAGTGTAGTAGCAATACTGCTGTATCAAAMATTTTCATGTTTTTCTTTGTWSYAMSWRGYRSMASMMGCTCCTCATTTAGTCTTTATGTTGAACAAAAGTTAAGATTCTGAATTCCCAAAAAGACTGAGACCAAGCCAGCCTTCTTGTCYGCTAGTATTAAAATGCTAACTGTGCTAAATCTAGGAATTTTAGCAATTTATAATAACTGGAATGGCCCAATAAAATTGCACCTTCTTGTATTATAATGTGCATGTAGTATGTACTATATACATAGTACCCATACTACCGGTGATGGTACCAAATAAAAACACTCATCTTCTTTTTGTCCCACTGTGGAAATCAACATAGAAACCCTGCTTATCATTTCTTGATTGATGATGGCAAGAAGCAGCAGGATTAGTCATAAACAGGATCATTCTTGTTGTACTACAAAAAATTGATGCTAATTCTTGCTAGTACTAGCGTCATGACAACAACAAATATAGAATCCTCATTTGCTACTACTACTACTAGTTCTCGTTGTACTAGCTATTACTACTAATGGTACAAGAAGAACTACAACTAGTTGATGGTTGTGAAGCTCAGCATGTTTCCAGTAGTATTTCGGAAAAGTAATGTTTATTGCAAAAGACACGGCCTATGAGGCTATATCTATTTTCCTTCCAATTTGATGAAGAAAGATCACGTTTCTGTATCACTACTACTAAAAAAGTTCCATCTTGACTCATCTCTATTAATCTTTTGTTCCTGCTACTACTATGACTGATGTAGCCAAGAAAGTTGACACAGACAATGATTTGTCAGGTCATACCAGGAGTTCGAAAAAAATGTTGCTTCCGCTATTACAAAAGAAGTATTGGTTCATCATGTTGCTTCGGTCAAATTTCAGATGAAAAGAAAGCAACTCAAGAGGCGGGCTTTTCCACCACTATTTGTTCTTCTACTGAATTCTCGTCAATCTCTCTGGTAACTCTACTCCGTTGTTCCKGTGTGAGTAGCCACTGCACTTTCGACRTTGTATTTCTCTACCAAAGCCGCCCTCTTCTTCTTGGCTTCTTCGTTGTAATAACGAACCGAATGGAAAGAAGATGCAGCTCCACCGTCTCGTCCCTTGAAGAACGAGCTCATATTGGAGTATACGTTGTATCCGCGTTGACGGGGTTCATCCTGAAGGTAATATAGATGCGTAAACATATTGGGACGGTTGTATTCATCTGAATGTTTTTGAGAATCGACAGAGCCCCTTTTCGGTGCGATTGTTTTTTTTTAGTCGCCATTAGATAAGATCAAAATAAATTATACCAAATGATGAGAAAGGGTGTAAAATACGGAGATAGATKTTGAGACACATTGCTGGTCGGAAGTTGCATTGGGAATATATATCGCTCAGGCTAAATGGGCGCACATTGTTTCAACTCACTCTGCCACACGCTCCGAGAGGCGTCCGATTCGAGAGTCTTCGGTCTCCTGAAATCCTTGGAAGAAGCTCTTCAATGGATTGCTCATCGTTCCAATGTCTGATGATTGCGGGTTTTAACCGATTCTTTTTTTTTCTTTCTGAAACTGCAGATGCTGTCCTCGGAGTTCAACGCAATATTTTTGCTGTTGACGATGATGTTGTCGTTTGTTGTACCGGTAGTCTGCGCGTAAACGAAAAGGTTGTGTGTTAGCTCCGTCCTGTAGTTTTTGATCGCTCTTCGCATTCGGGGGTTCTCAAATACTTAACGGCTCCCCTAAATAATAGATAATGGAGAAAGGGACTAAAATAMGACAAAATATTGGAGCAAACTTAGTCGGAACCGTAGTGTAACTTGTACTGTAATTCTATTAGTAGTAGTATCGTACTGAACTTTGCGTTTACCTGTACGTACAGCACTACTACCGTTGAGCTCTGTATGTACGGTACTTGGTACTGTAGTACAGTACGAAGTATTATTATTTCTCGTCCTCAGTGCTCTACGTAAAGGTACCGTAGGACCTTACTGCATGAGTACATACCATGCTACAGTACGACCGGTATTTCTAATGCAAGATTCGGTTTCCGACTGAAC